GTTCGATCTCCATCCTTTCTAGGAGCGATCAAAGAGTGTCTTGATATTAGTCTTTGGAGAAAGGCTGATCAGAAGTCGTGCTCACTGCCTCCATCGAATTCTTGCCGAAGAATTCGGTTCATTGGATGGACCCTGCTGATTCTGCTCCACCATTCACTGTGTCATCTTCAGTGGGAGCAGTCTTTGGAGTCTTTCTTTGGGCGTGAACACCTTCATTTGGAGATATTGCATCTTCGTATCAGGTATATCCCTCTCCTACTGTTTTGGTTCAGATCTGGTTCGGTTCTTGGTTCAAGATTGATCTTTGAAAAATGCAATTTTTTAAAACAGGGAATGCAATTCCCACATGGGAGAGAGAGAAATTTTTTGAAATTTCGCCCTACCTTCCTGCAAGGTTCGGCCATCCATATGATGGATCTCTCATCCCTTCATATCCTACTTCTAATTTGTACCTTAGTGAGATCTATAGGGTAAAAGAAATTCTGAATTTAAAGTCAATGAATGAAAATGGTTTCATTCGAAGGATGGTTGGGAAGATGAAAGAGAAGTTTGATAATTATTGGGGTGAACGTAATCTATTAATGGCAGTGGCTTCCGTCTTGGATTCGAGGTGTAAATTGAAGCTGGTTGAGATGTGTTTTCCAGAAATATATTCAAAAGATGAAGCTAGAAGAAACATTGAGCATGTTCGAGGGGCTTTATACTAGCTTTATGATGAATACGTAGCCGCTTATAATGCTTCTAGTAGTGAGCAATCCTCTACTAAAGGGAATGGTAGCAATAGGTATTCTGTAAGTTCCAGTTGATGTCATTCACCCGGGGAGAATGAGATTGACACTGCTCCCTTGTAGGTTGGACAATTCATCTATGTGCAATGTCCAAGTTGGGAGTTCTTCAATTGGATTTAGGATCGAGAATAAATACTCATCTAGAAAATCGGCCAAGGCTTGAGCTTTGATTGCGGGCCGAGGAGCGTAGTCGAGATCGAACTCGTTGAGCTTTATGTCTTAGGTTTTTGGAGTATTTTCTTTGGGTGTTGATCAATTAGAACACAGATGTTGTGTGCCTAGAAGTAGGGCCCGCGCTTCCTAGCTGAGGTCATGAGGACTAGGACGACCTTCTCTAGGTTCAGGTATTTGGTTTTCACATCCACGAGGACTTTTTTGGTGTAGTAGATCGGTCTTTGGACCCCATCTTCTTCTTTGACGAGAACCGATTTGACCACTTCGTCACCAACTGAAAGCTATAGAAATAGTTGGTCTTCGGGTCTCATCGTTGTTAGTAAAGGCGACAAGCTATGGTACTGCTTTAGTTGTTGGAATGCCAAGTTACATTCCTCCGTCCATTGGAAGCCCTTCAAGGTCCGTGGAATTCGACATGAACCGATTGAGGCTGACAACTCGTCTGGTGAAGCGGTGTACTTCTCTATGTGCCCGCAGAGGGTAAATATCCAGGATGGCCTAGATGTTTTCTGGGATGGCCTTGACCCCTCTTTGTGTCACCATGAAGTCAAGGATTTTTCCAAAGTTGATGCTGAAGATGCACTTGGTCAGGCTCAGCTTCATGTTGTATTGCTTGAGGATACTGAAGACCTCTTCCATTTTGGCCAGGTGTTCCATTGCTTTCTTGCTTTTTACCAACATGTCATTCATATAGGCCTCCACATTTTGATCAAGCTAACCTTTGAACATGCGGTTCAGTAACCTTTGATAGGTCGTGTTGGTGTTCTTGAGGCCGAATTGCATCACTTTGTAGTAGTAGAGTCCTTGATCAATGATGAAGGTGGCCTTTTCCTAGTTGTTAGGGTGCGTTTTGATTTGATTATAGCCTAAGAAGGCATCCATGAAGCTTAGTAACTCATGCCCTACTATTGCGTTGATGAGATGATCTATCCTCGACAGGGGGAAGCTGCCCTTTAGGAAAGATCGGTTTAGGTTGGTGAAGTCAGTGTAGATTCTCCACTTTCCATTGGCTTTCTTCACCATCACTATGTTTGCGAGCCAGTTCGGGTAGGTTACTTATCTAATAAAGCCCATGACGAGGTGTTTCTTTACTTCTTTGTTGATCACTTGCCACCATTCAAGGGCGAAGCTTCTCTTCTTCTGTCGTACAGGTCAGTATTGAACCGGTGGGTCATGACTTTGGGGTTGATCCCAGGAAAGTCTTCTGAGTCAATTCCTACATGGGTTGACCACACTGGGTGTGAAGCTCATCCTAGAGGTCTAAGTCATTAGCGGAAAGAAATTTCTAGGCAGGGGCCTTTCCTTTGTAACTGGTTGCCACGCAACACTTCCTCATCATGCGCTGGTTTCTTCGGGCGACGCCTACGCCATGTGTGGTAGGGAACTTCACTACTAGGTCATACATCGAGACTAGGGCGGTTGTTAGTGAACGATGAGAGAGAGAGATTTAGGAAACCAGAGCTTTTTGTTTCAATTCCCACAAACAACGCCAATCTGATGTTATATGATCTGAGGTGTGCCAAACTGAATACGCAATTGATAAGATCTTGCCAATTGGACGAGGCCGAGGTAGAAGGATGAAGTCATGCACTAAGGAGGTTTGTAACCATAGAAGGAATCAGAGGCCTGAGGAGACGATCCCCGGGAAGGCACTCTGATGCTCATGTTAGTAGCAAGAGGATGAAATCAGTCAGGCCGAGCTTTAGAGGGCGATCTAGTTCGATTCGAAGAGAGTAGTAAGGTAGCAAGAAAGATAGAGCGTTAGGGGAGTTGAAGATCTTTACCTTGAGGGAGAGATGCCTTTAAATAAGTGAGTGCCCGTGTTGTAACTGGATAGGCTCTTTGCGGGATTATCGGGATGAGGCCACCCACCGAGGTTCTCGGGAGGCTCCACCTTACTCGACGGCCTGGTTGCTCGGATGAGCATTGGCGTGGCTTGAAGATGCCGACCACAAAAGCGACTGTATGGTGGCTTCAGTCCGTAGCTAGGACACTGCCAAAACAATTCTTGTTCTTATGAATGAACCAAAATGCATGGTCAAGTTTGATGCATTAATTTTGTTCCAAACAGAGCTAATAGCGTATTTGAAACTTAATGTATTCCATCAATTTAGACTAAATAGTATAAATACAAATATGTATAATATAAATGCATATAAAACAATATAAACTACAAGGTTTTGCACTCTACATATTTGTATTTATACTCTTTTCAAACTGAGCGGAAGGCTGCGTTTGGTTGCAATGCAAATAAATTTGCACTGATGCAAAGTTGTGACAATGCAAATGATTTGAGTGTAAATTCTGACCTATTTTTATTTCAAATTTTAGCTTATTTTGTTTAATTGCATTAAAATTGAAGTAAATTAAGACATAAAACAGAATAAAGTAAAACCCAATACAAAATTAAACGAGAATTTGCATTTTCTTCACTTGCACTATCATGCATTTTTACCAATGCAACTAAAATTGCACTGCAACCAAACACAACCGAAGGTGAAATATTGCGGTAACAAATTTAAGAAGGAAATTTACTTTGTAGGGATCTTTTTTCAAAGTTTATTATTATCTTTTTCCTGGTGCAAGTTTTTCACAGTTACATAAGAACATAAGAAAATTTCCCTTGGACCAGTATCGGCGGTACATAAGAAATGCATCTATTGCTTAAAATTTAGTGGGTGGGCTTTGTATATTATATACTTAAGCCACAACCCTAACTAGCTATAATATTAATTAATTAATTAATTAATTCCCTCTCTTAACATTACAAACTGAAACCCCTTAATTCCCAGGCCAGGAGACAACCAATTGGCACACACAGACACATAATCACACGCATAAATATTGATTAGAATTGAACACTGCTAGAGAAGGATTGGCCGAACTTCCAGTTGGAAGGAATTACGTTCAAGGCTGTGCGAGTCTTTCCATCGCTGGTCTGGATTCTGAAGGACAAGCTTTGGCCGTTGAGATAGGTTAAGCTCTGCCAGTTTGATCCCCAATTCCTCGACATAGCCTCCCATTTGGTTTGCTTGGATCCTTTGATCCAAACATTAGATATCTCTCCAGCACCCCCTACATTGGAAATGAGCACCAGTTCAAAGTAATCCCGTCCATTGATTGTAAACCTGATTCCTCCACTTCTATGACATCGAACCCTGTTGCATTAAGAAGAATGAAGTCATAATTCAGTCCAATTTAACGTAGGGATAGAAGCAAATTTGGGATTGGGATTGGGTTGGGCCCAGAGTTCAGACCCAACTTTAGCCCACTTCGTTTCAAGATTTGGGCTTGAACTTTGAAGTAATAATTAGGGTCTTTCATTTTTTGGATTTTGAGGGAAAAAGTTGATTAATAGGATTTTGGTTTGGAACAAGAAACCTATATTGGATATCACTTACCCATCTCCCCAGTGTCCATTTGAAGAAAAAGTTGCAACACTTTGATGAGACAAAATTGTCCCTTTTAATAATAGTTTTTTTTTATGGATAAATAGTTAATATCTTATTTACCTAAGAAATAAAAAATATGGGTAAATAAAAAATACTTACTCTAATAATTTACGAAAAAGCAAACGGGGCCTTAGTATTGATAGACCAAGACCTGGATCGAGTCTGATCAATTGGCCATCGATCGACTCGCCCATTTTCACAGAATTGGATTGCACAGACCCAAAACCCAATCCACCCAAATAAATTTAAATAAATGTTGATAATAGAAAAATGAAAAAACGAAACGAACCTCCTGTAGAAAATAGGTACAATTCCTGCCTTATATTTAGCAATCGTCTCAAATGCAGGTTGTGACATGTCGAAGTGCTGGCGTGGTGGGTTGCACCATCCGCCATTGTCGTTAGGGAGAGCGTAGTTTGGAGGACAGAAGTTGGTGGCCGTAATGGTGATGTGGGTGCCCTTCAAGCACCACTGTGGCACCTTGGTGGAGTCACAGACAATCTGATAACAACCTCCGCATGCTTTGCCATTGTTGAACAGAGCTGTGCTCAATGCCGCTGTTTTAATTCCGTAGCCATCGGTATTCAGATTCCCATACCCACATGCTCCTCCTGCATGCGCACCATCCAAGCACCCATTAATTATCATATTATTACTCACTTGCTATGCTACCCCCCTACTTCTTCTTCTTCTTCAAGTTTCAATGTTAATTTTATGCATAAATACATGCATGGGATGAAAGGATACTGAGATATTATCATACTATCCACGGTTTAACCGCCCAGTTCAACAGGATGACCCATTCTGACAAAATTCTTAAAAATTTAAAAAATACCAAAACGTTGAATAGATCAAACAGGTTGACGATTTGACTGCCAAGTCAATGGGTCATGATCAATTTAATGGTTTTTTTGCTGAGAATCAGATTTAGGATAAAACGGAACATTATCTAGACATCCAAACGGTCTGATCATCCAAATCATTGGCGGTTCGAAAACATTGATATATATTATTAGTGGTTAGTCCAAGAACTGAGAAATTAATTAGAAAAAGATTACAATGGAATGATGTTTATATATATATATATACTACACTGCTGGAGCCTATATCAATATAATTCTGCAGACCTCATGACCTAACTGAAAAGTTTCCAAGTAATTCAATAATGGCGTATAACTCGTATTCTGATCTATAATCTAGGCAACAAATTGATTAAACATGCATAGAAATTAATTAAGAGAGAGCATACTCATCACTCACCCATTGTCCCTGAAGCATCACTCCCTCCGTAGAACGTCGCATGGGCACTCTGCCAAGCACCCAAACCTTCTTCGAACTTTGTAATGAAGACCACCACAAACAACACCAGAATGCTGCTAAGTTTACCCAAACTTCTCATCTCTCTCTCTCTGTACCTCTGATCGTACTTTTTAGGGGATATGGAGCCTGGCCAAGTCTCCTCTACTTATAGCCAAACTGCCTTAACCGTCTCTAATTATTTAATTAATTTATTTTGATTCAATGGCAAGCAGAAAGGCTGTGTAGAATGCTGCTGTATAAGTTGACTGTCCAAGATGCCGAGATTCAACAACTCATCGACAAGGAACCCATAGTAGGTACCATGTAATGGTACTACTAGCTAGAGGGAGAAAAGCATAAAAAAAAAGGTAAAGGTGTAAAATGTTGAAAAAATCAAAGTCAACTACATCCGAGTATTATCTTCCTCATTTCCCAATAGAACATGCAAATTCATTAAAGGAGTTTAGTCTATAGAGTTTTATAATATATATATATTATATATTAGACTTGTGCTTATCTCCAAAGAAAGTTAAGCTTTTGATGAGGTTGGAGACTCTGGACAAGTCTCTTAAGCATTTATTTTCAAGTCTTAAACTAGAGAGGGTGCCCTTATCTTAAGGCATATCTTGTGGGGCTATCATGTACGTAGCACATGGGTGACACCCTTCTTACTTCTTAGTCATCTCTCCCACCCATGACCCCACTAACTAGACCCCGTCTACACGCATGCATGGAGCTGGCTTAGCTGCTATCTCAATAGGTTAAGAGTTCACATCTCTGCCCCACAGCACATTTCTGCCGTGTATTGAGAGTATTTTCCAATAATGACATTATCGGTTCTGATATTATCATCGGAGGATATTCTCAATACATGGCGGGAAAGTGCTGTGGGGCATTGTGGAGCGGAGATGTGAGCTCGTAGGTTAAAGGTTGAACAGTTCTTGCATTCCCATGATATACTATTTAACCAAAAACAGTCGTAGCTCATGAGACATGGATAATTTATCTTTTTCTTTAATTTAATGGTTAAACAATTTTCTTTTTCTCTATGAATAGGGCACTGCATTTAATAGATTGGTTCAATTGGTTGCCCCCGACAGAATAACACCCATCATGATCATCATCAGAATAACAACCGATCGAGTTCAATAAATTTCTTATGTAATTGAGGGTCTGTTTGGTTCTCAGTTGGACTTTGGAATCGAAATAGTCTATTTTTATAGTCCATTTGGTTCAGATAGAAATTAAAATAAGAATTGATATAAGCAAGAATAGAATTTTATTCCCAAGAGAAAGGGAGGGAATGACCATTCCCTCTATTGAGGGAATATCATTCTAGCAGGAATGGAAATAGAATTCCAATAACCCATTCAACCAAACAGTTGAAATCAGAATAATCCATTCCAATTCTGATTTCAAACCTCTATTATTCCTGTGAACCAAACGGGGCTTAATAATAATAAACATTCCATGTGCATCTCAAATGAGAAGTCAAATTTATTCTTTTCAAAAGCATTGAAAATAGATTTATACACATGCCCTGCATCTCCCAACTAATGTTTTCTTCACTTATACAATTTAGCAAAAGTCAAATTATTTGTTTTCTATTATACAAATGAAGTGGTTTTCTGGGTACTAACCGTACGTACACCTTACAACTAATCCTTTGTCAATTAACTAATAAAGAGTCGATCTCTCTCTCTTGCCATTTAAAATTCAGTCTAAATTTAAGTTGGCATTTTTACCCTGAAAGAATATAAGATAAGAAATTAAGAAGGCTGTTGGTCAGTACTGGTCCCAACGGATTATCCAGGGTCTTGGGAAAGGAATAGAAATACAAGATTTGTATAGGTTTTCTCATATTTATCTTCCTTTTCCCAACTACCGTTTCTTTCAAACCAAATAAAACGAATACAGCCTCATCACATCCTTTTTTCTTTCCTCTATTTTTTAATTATTATAAGATGATTTAATTAGACTAGACTGATTAGTTTTGGTTCATTTGATAAATTCACATTCCTTTCACATGAAAGGAGGCTACATAGATCGATCAGCTAATTAAAACCCCCACCTGGGCCGGTTTCATACTATGTACGAAACACATGCTTGCATGTCTTAATTTAATTGGGCGCCATATTTTGAACTTTTCAACAACGGTGTTGATGTATTGCCGAAAAGGGCAACCGGTTAGCCGGAGACAAGATTGTACACACAGGGCTGGATTATTTATCATGGTTGAACACGCCAATGTTCATTTCAGATAAGCCCAGATGGGGCTCACACTAAGCATTGACGTGTTTAACCATGATAAATAGCCCAGCCTCATTTGTATAATCTTGTCTCCAGCTAATCCGGAACATGGTTTCTTTGATCTTTATAAAGCATCAATGGTGGGATAGGACTTATGTAGCCGGCAAGTTGATCATCGTATGTACATATAATCACCAACTGTTGGAATTTGGAGTTTGGACAAAGGGGATTTATCATTTAAGCGTGGATCCATAATTGATTCCCTTAGGGGCATTTGATAACAGCTGAAGTGACTGATTTGGATAAATAAATATTTGTCAAGGTTTTGTTTTAACTTTGAAGCAATGTTTTAAAAATTGATTTCGACCTGGATGATTTTTAGGGCAAATGGTTTTGTCAAGGTTTTGATTAAAGAACGAATTAAGGGTAAAACAAAACCGTTTGCCTGAATGACTTTTAGGGAAAATGGTCCAACCTTCTGGGTGAATGATGGTTTCAAAGCATTGCTTAAAAGGCTCTTGAAATGAGGAAAAAGTAATAAAAGTAAATAATACACAAGGATTAAGGTTGGAAATTCGTGGCCAAGTGGTGATAATTAAGAGGGTTTTTGGAACTGTAGGCATTTATTCAATAAACGCTGCCACATAGGCACTACTCCAGCAATTCCCCTTTCATGCTCTTTTATATACATCAAGAATAGTAAAAGGTGACTTTGATTTCTATGCACGTCTATCCTTTGTGGAAGTTATTTTTTAAAGCTTCCTCCAATAGTTATGCATTTTCTCACTGTTATGCTGATATGGTGTCTAGTGACGTCTAATTGTCATAAATAATTATAATTATTACCTTTATCGATTTTACAAACAAATAAAATATAAACATTAAATGAAAAAATTGTAAATAAAACCAAACACATACTAAGATGCCTTAAATGCTAAATGCTTTGTACTAGGTGGGCTTTTATCTTGTTACATACCCAGCCACAACCCAGATACTTTTATTCTATTATTATATGACACAAACACTTAACATATATAAAAACTAACCCAACCATGCCCGTAAGGTCAGAAGGTTGCCCCTGTGGCTGTGGGCTGTGGGCCGTGGGCCGTGGGCTGTGAACTCTGGATAGTGGATACCAGACCATACAAACAGTACTAGAATTGAACGTTGCTGGAGAAGGACTGGCCAAACTTCCAGGTTGAAGCAATCACGTTCAAGGCCGTCCGGGTCTGGCCATCGCTGGTCTGGACTTTGAAAGACAGGCTCTGGCCATTCAGATAAGATAAGCTCTGCCAATTTGATCCCCAGTTTCTTGACATGGCCTCCCAGTTTTTAGTTTTGGAGCCTTGGATCCAAACGTTTGAGATCTCTCCAACACCCCCTACGTTCGATATGAGAACCAGCTCAAAGTAATCCCTTCCGTTGATCGTAAATCTGATGCCTCCACTTCTTTGACATCCAACCCTGATGCAGTAATGAAATTAAATAATAAAAAGTTGGGTTCTTATATAATTAAATAATCCGTCCAATAATCACAATATCAAACAAAATAAATTTAGGGGATTCATGCTTTCTTTTTTAATTTAATTTTTGCTACCAATCGAAACCATATAAAAGAAAACAAAAATTAATTAAGACTAATACTTTTTTCCTTTTTTAAATGGGGCACAACTATGGATTTCAAAACCGGACCGGACCGGACAGTTAGACTGGAAAATTGGGAACCGGTAAGGTAATCGGTTCTATTTTACCCCAGAATCGTTATTTCCCCAAAAACCATTGATTTGGTCAGCAAACCACTGACCTGGGTGGTTGAACCGTTCAACGGTTTAGCCGATTTTTATTTTTTTATTTTTTATTTTTTTTTTAGAACATGCCATCTGTTCGGTTCGAACGATCGGACTGTTCGACCCAGGAACCAGACCCCTAATTGGTTCATTGTCCAATTCGGTTTTAAAAACCTTCATAACCCTATCCTGTGTTAGAATCACAATCTGAATGACTTATTCCCCTCACTTATTTGGTTCAAATTGAAATTGAAATCAAAATTAGAATTTACTGGAATGGATTTTCATTCTTAGGGGAGAGGATGGGATGACCATTCCCTTAAATAGAGTTAAATAGAGGAATCCCATTTCACCAATAATGAAAATGAAATTCTGATTCCAGCCAACCAAATAGTTAGAATCATAATAAACCATTGCGTTTCTAATCCCGGACACCTCTTCCCACAAACCAAACAGAGTCTTAGTAGTTATTTCATCAATCAAAACAAGAAATTAGGGTGGGTAAAAATTGAAAACTTTTGTAAAAAGCAACGAATTAAGGGCCCGTTTGATGTGTCTTTTTGGGAAGATCTTCTGGTAGATCCGACAGTCAAAAGATACATTGAGCTTTTGCATGAACATTTGAGCAGCCCGAAGCTAGTTTAGCAGTATCACGTCTTCTTGTGTCTTTTTTGTGCGAGAATAAAACGCAAAAGACGTGAAAAGCTTCATTTGGAGCTTCCTGAAATCAGCCCAAAATGGGCTTCTCGCATCTTTTCGACACTCCGGCTTTTGACGGTTAGATCTTCCGCGAACCAAATGGGAATAGACTAAAATTCAGTCTGCCCGACTTAAACAACCAAAAGACCGGGTAGAAAGACATGCCAAACAGGCCCTAAATTAATTAAAAGGTCATGAAAAATAAAAAAAGAAAAGCACTTTTCTATTAATTATATATAAGTTACTTATTACCTCCTATATAGCACAGGCACAATCCCTGCCCTATAGATTGCAATCTTCTTAAAAGCGGGTTGTGACATATCAAAGTGCTGGCGTGGAGGGTTGCACCATCCACCGTTGTCATTTGGGAGAGCGTTGTTTGGAGGACAGAAATTTGTGGCGGTAATAGTGATAGAGGTACCCTTCAAGCACCACTGGGGCACCTTGGTGGCGTCACACACAATCTCATAGCAACCTCCGCACGCCTTGCCCCCGTTGAACAGTACTGTGCTCAATGCCGCTGTGTTGATTCCGTAACCATCCGTGTACAGGTTTCCGTACCCACATGCACCTCCTACTACCACCAAACATCATACGGCCAAATTAAAACATACTTACACAGAGGAGAAAATCATTAGGACCCAATAGGCTTCTCTTAAGTTTGATGCATGGTTCTACACCAATTTATTAGATGATTAATCAGAAAAAAGCAGTTGCAAAACTACTAGAAACTGCAACCAGAACACAAGTCCAGAATATATCAAGTTATCAACACTTCAAACAAGTATTTGGATTCACTGCTGAAGTAATAACGAAGAGAGAAGACCCTTTAAAATACAACCTCTCTAATTCTCAATTCGTACCTTGTACTTTGGGTCTAGTGTAATTTTGGTCCTCAAACTTTAAAATGCGACAATTTAATATTCAAACTTTTAAAATGTGACAATCTGATACTTGTCGTTAACTAGCTGTTAGATAATATTTAAAAAAGACACAAATACCCTTTGAGTGTCATTTAATTTTCTTTATCAACTATCTAAATATTGACAAAACATTAATGGTTAAGTACACTGCAACCCAATGACAAACCCTCATCCTGTCCATGAATTTGGCATCAATTCACGGTCAGGATTCATCCCCCTTGTACGGTGGAGCTAAAAAATTCTGACCTAGGCTGATCAGTCATTCTCCCAAAAATTAATAGTCTCAAATCCTTGTCTCTTCTCTATTCAAAAAAGTTGGGGTCACTAAAATGCCCACTCAAACATAACCCCAACTTTCTTGAATGGAAGAAGCAAGAATTTGGGACTATTAATTTTTTTGTCAATGTTTAGATGGTTGATAAAGAAAATTAAATGACACTTGAAGGATATTTGTGTCATTTTCAAATGTAGTATTGAATTGTCATGTTTTAAAATTTTGAGTACTGAATTATCGCATTTTAAAGTTTGGGGACTAAAGTGGCACTAGATACAAAATACTGGGTACTAATTAGGAATTTTCTCTTTGTTATCTTATATTAAAAATTAAAAGCTAGTATGAATATAATTGGATATAGAACTGATATGGTTGTAGAATATATATTTTAACTATTCTTATTGGTTATATTTTAATGGGTTCCTACGGCTAATTTGAAATATGAACCAAAGTATAGGGCCACCTAATGCTCAAGACTCTTGCCAATGCAAAATCTCAGGACAGATGGACGCAACCTTACCCCTGCACATACAAAGGACATATGAACCACCATAGAATATCTGTCATGTTATATGGAAGAAAGGCAGAAGTACAAACTATCCAGACTCCATATATGCAAGTAGTATGTAGAAGGGTGGAATTGACCCAGCCCATTACTAGAAGCCTAGCTAGTTACCTCTAGATTCTGTAAATCAAGGGGAATCCAGCTGAACCCATCCCAGATATATAACTAGTAATAATTTAGGCTCAGTTTGAAAAAAGTATAAATACAAATATATACAATAATAAATACATACAAAATAACACAAAATAGAAGGTTTTGCACTCTATATATTTGTATTTATACTCCTTTCAAACAGAACCTTTTTAGGAGCTCTATCTTCATCTTGAAAGTACATACTTCTTTTTCACGGTGGATGTTCAAGCCACCTCATTTAATATTCAAAAAATACCAACAAAACAAGAGGCATGGCTCCTTATGGTGTCCATTCTCTTGCTGTAGCTTTATGATTTATAGTGAAAGGAGAGGGCATATAAACTACTCACCCATTGTCCCTGAAGCATCACTCCCTCCATAGAAGGTTGCATAGGCACTCAGCCAAGCAGCTAAAGCTCCTTCAAATTTAGGGAACACAACCAAAGACAACAGCAGAACGCTACCAAATCTGTCCATCCTATTCCTGCCACTACTACAAACCTCTCCTTCCTTTGTGTGCTAAATCCTAGTGAATGATTTTCTATTTATATCCCACTCTGCTAACTGTTTACTGTCTTTTATATTTTTATTATTAATTCAATAATTGAATCCATGAAGCAACAAGAAAATTACTTGCTGACTGCACTTGTTTTGTTTATTATTTATTATAGACGGTATACACGCCACGCGAAGGGTGTAAGTGTTAAGTGTGAACCCGCCCAAAGCTTTCGTCCAGCTTGACTACTTGGTCTCATGAACACACTTGAGCTTAGGCTCTTAGGCAAATGTATCCAAGCTCAGACCCAACCTCTGCCCCAGTTCTGCTTGGGTTAAATATACTCTTGTTACTTTACACTATTTTTCATGATTTTTAAATAGATACTGTACGGCCCAAAAACATCCAGGAATTGGGATCTGCCCCTCACACGGGGCGCCTTACACCGATCTCACATGCACATTTCATCATGCATTAGAAATATTTCCCGTGAATAATAGCATATAAATGCACGGTGGGATGTGTCTCTGAAGTCAGTGTGAAGCGCCCTGTGTGAGGAGTAGATCCCGTTTCTCAGTTTTGTTTCACCTCTGAATCATTTTTTGGCCAAAAACCATTAACTTGACCAGACAATGATTTTTGACTATTTTTATTTTCTTAAATTACAATACACCATCCATTCGAATTGAATGATTGAATCTCTGACCCAGAAATCGATGGCCAAACGATTCTAGTTATAAATGGATTTTTGAAACATTGCTATTTTCTTATATAAAAACAATTTCGTTAAGGTAATGTTTGGTTTGAAGGAAAAGGTAAGGAAAGGAAGGGAAAGATAGGAAAACCTATATATAAGGTTTGTAAAGGTTTCTATACCTTTCCCTACCTTTTCTTCAAACCAAACACAGCCTAAAGTTTTTTTTTTTTTTTGAAGCCAATTTCATTAAAGTTAAAGCCCAGATAAGTTATTCTCAATTATGTTTAGTTTAACCAAACGATCATTTAAGTCCAGGCTTGGCTCCTATGAGCCAACCTAAGTGAATCCATCCTTCTTTCCAAAGATGGATAAAGAAAAGGATAATTTACAAATTTCTATCCTATACTTACGAGTGGTGATATTTAGCCCCTCGATTTATTTTTTTTCTTTTTTCGACAGGATTAATAGTGAAGATAAAATTATTAAATTGTCCATTGGAATTTGATGGGCTGAGAGAAAAAGTATCAAAATGATAAAATGAATATTGTTAAAAGCACAATATATCAATATCTATTTTGGATTGTATTACCGCTCTTCCAATTAAATCGTTGCCGAAGAAGAAATATTAGAATTTATCAACATCAATCAAGGGTTTAGAATTAATCACAGTAGCTAGGGCTTAGGGTTGTATTTCGGGTTTGCCCGAGTTAGCATTTTATACTACTTTTGTAGTGTTTTTAAATTGTTGTTGATTCGACAGCTAGACCATTCGGCCTGAGAATTATTTAGGCGACTGATTCTGTTTCACCTTTAATTCAGTTTTTGGTCAAAAACTGTTGATTTGATCAATAACTTGCTCACCTAGGTGATCTAATTGTTAATTCGTTTAATCCAAACAATGATTTTTGGTCATTTTTTATTTTAATTATTTTTAATTTTTAAATTAGAATGGGCTAAGCTATCCATCCAAACCAGACAATTAAACTGCTGACCTGGAAACCAGTTACAAAACCCCAATCTGAACATGCCCAAATTGCATATCTACCCATTTCAAGAGAGATATTGTGCTTTAACATGCCATTTTTTTTATCATTTTCATAACTTTTTGCTCTAAGCCATTTAAGTTTCAAATGAACAATTTTGTAATTCTACCTTCATTGTTCAATCTATCAATAATAATAAGGGGCAAAAGTGCTGAAATCTAAAAGTTCAGGGAGGATCCATCTTTAAATTAATTACTTGGTAACTATATATTAATTCCTAGCTAGGTGGTGTTTTAACATATAAAGAGATCTCTGAATTCTAAAATTTCTGCAATCTCTTATTCCATGCATCAGTACACAGTAAGCACGGGAGAAAGGGTGTATTCTGTATAGAGCACACTCTATGGTTGGATCAGTATTAATTACTTAACTTTTTTGAGTGATCAGATGACTAATTAAGCTTGTCCACTTGATAAGATTTCTGGGCAACAATAAAATCATATCCTTGTTACTTGTTAGAAATAAAAATATATTCCCAAGTACATACAAACAACAAATCAAATTATAATCAAGACTCGAGAAACTGTTAATCACCTTCATTACTTAATTGTTGTAGAAGTCCAGAGGAATGAACTTTGGAATTAATTTAAAGTAAAATAATTCCTTCCAAAGGCTTCTTTGCTTAAGGGACCCATTTAGGGTCGTACGTAATATATAATACACCCGGAGAAGAAAGCATAAAGAAATTAATGCAAGAAAAAAAAATCATATAACATGTCAACCAAATCAAAGCAAACCACATCCAATTGCTATTTTTCCTAACTCTCAATGTTGCGTCAACTTGAAACAAGATCTCAATACTTGATTTTGTTTTTCAATTTAAATGTATTTTATATTTCTGAATATATCAAGAAATTTACGCCTCTTAATATTGAAGTTGATAACGAACTTAACAAGGAGACAATGGATTGGAAATGCCTTACAAAGTCTCATATTAAACAATTATCTGCAATTGCTACCGTATCAGCCAGCGTATGTCATGGCATGTCTTGGGGGCTTATGTTTATGTAGCAATATTAGCACATGGATGATGCCACCCTAGCTTATTGATCTCACCACTCGGTCCTTCTGTTCTTCTTATGGTGATGCCATGCATCGTTAGTGATGATCTCACCACTCTCTTCTCTCAATTCAATTTCTTCTCTTAATTCCCTTCGAACCAATGTTCTAGAAATTAACCTCGAACCGGAACCGCTTTGGCCATTGGTTTTTAGGTTATTGGTTTGACCATCCGGTTTAAATAGATGACATTTTGTAATTTAAAAAATATATAAATAAAAATTAATGAAAATAGAAACAATAAAAATGATGGTGCGCGATCTGGATGCTCTTAGCTAGAGGATTAATCGAATGTCGGTTACTTAATTATCCGGTTAAACTACAAAGTAAGTGGATCAGAGAACCTAGGGTGGTTAGCCCGACGATGTCACTCCGATACTTAAGTCAGTACAATACGTGAGTAGCGAGCTGAAAACTTGAGAGTTGGAGAGCTGGAAAGAAAATGATCGTGCGTACCTGGGTCTCAAGGGCTACTGCCCTTATATAGCTAAGCAATCGTGGGTCTGACGAAATGCTCCCATAATCTTGGCGCTGTAGGGGTCCGTTGCGCCCTGGGAGGCGGAAATTGCACTAATTGATGAGGATTACCGTTTCCCTCTACTTCGGGCAGGATAAGGATAATGCCTACGGTTACGCGGTGTGAAGGAACGGTCTGCTATCAGAGGGTTCAGAGACTGTTGGGAAGCTTCTAGAGGTCTGCTACGTGTCTCTTTGGGAAGGAACGGTCAGCCCAAGATACCCGGATGACGATGCTATCAGAGGTGACCAAGATACCCAAGGTGGCCCAACCTCCCGATGTAGTTGTGGATACTGGCCCGATGTGCCGAGGTGGTCGGGGTGCTGAGTCATATGTCTACTCACCTTGACATGTCCACATATCAGCTATTCACTAGGTCGGGCCAAATCACCCCTCATCAGTTGCCCTCCACTCCCCATGCCAAGGGTTCTAACTCGGGGCGGGGAGATCACGACGAGGCCAGGTCGATTTTGAAGGGATGAGAGATCCATCATATGGATGGCCAAACCCTGCAAGAAGGTAGGGTGAAATTTCAAAAATTTCTCTCTCTCCCATCTGGGAATCGCATTCCCTATTTTAGAAAATCTGCATTTTCAATGATCAATCTTGAACCAAGAACCGAACCAAATCTGAAACCAAAAGGTAGGAGAGGGATATACCTGATATAGAGAAACAGTATCTCCCAATGAAGGTGTTCACGCCCAAGGAAGGAACCAAAAACTGCTCCCACTGAAGATGGCGCAGTGTAGGATGGAGCAGAATCAGCAGTGTTCGTCCAACGAACCGAACCCTTCACAAGAATTCATTGGACGCTATGAGCACAACTTCAGATCAGCCTTTCTCCAAAGGCTGATATCAAAATCCAATCTTGACCGTTCCTGCTTGAATGAGGAGATCGAACTGGCGGTTATGGCGGCGGCAGGTAGGAGGCGGCAAGGAGAAAATTGCGCAGTGGTGCTATGTTCTCTTAGCTGTATCTCTTTCTCTAAAAGTGAGAAATGTGATCATCAAAGAGGCTACCGCCCCCTCCTCCTTTTATAACCTTAAAGGGGTCAACTCCTAATCCCATTAGGAGTTGCTGATCCAAATCAAATTTGGATCTGAATTCCTTTTAAGAGGTAAGGATAGACCCTTATCTTATCTGCAGATTAGATCAGCCCTCTCCTAATCTTATCAGGAGGTTTCCAAATCTGAATCTGTATTCAAATTTGGACTCTATGAGTGGATAGGGTAAGACCCTATCCTATCTGCTAATCTRATCTCAGATCCGCCCCTTTATTTAACTGATCAAATCAGCGCAGTTCGAAATGGGCTTTAGGCCCATGAAGTCTTAGTGCTTAGTATGCTT